ATCTATAGACATCGTAATGTTAGGGATAAATATATATGACAGATAAAGACTAACAGGGTCTCATAGAAACAGGAGAACGTAAGCAATTTCCCATTTAACCTCATAGGTTTACTGAGAGTGAGGGTGATACTGTACAAGTCTAATATTTAAATTCAATTTTCTGCAAAGGTCTGTTAAAATTTCAGAATAAAAGGCCATACTGAAGAGAAGTTCCTTTTTTTATTTAGTCGGCCAGTAACCGATTGTCAATCTTAAAAAAAGGCAAGAGAAAAAAAAATGTGTGCGTAGTACTTCTGCATCATCGTAAAAAAATATTCCATTATTTAAATCATTAGACAGAAAAATGTAATCAAATGTGTCCTGAACAAGATGGTCCTTTTGTCGACTTTAATTGAGAGCGAAGTAGGTAAAGTTAAGAACTAAATAAAGCACATCTTTTACGAAAGTACAGAAATGGAATAAATAAAGAAAAATACAATTGACTGAAAAAAAAAAAAATCAGTTTTAAAATAGGGGAATTTGAAACCAGTTTCAAAGAAGAAAGGAATATTTTAGTGTTTTTTTTTCTTTCGTTTTGGCGTTGCGTGTCCTGAAAATCTAAGACAATGAAGCCAAATCCCTCTCCATTTGTTCTTTTTCGATGTCTTAAAATGGATTCAACTTCTATTTTTGCATGCAAAGATTTAGAAGGACAATTTGGGGGTTTTTGTCTTTGGACCATAGTTACTAAGAATAAATAATCAATAGTAATGTTGTTAAGTTTACGCTCTTTGTAAAAAAAAACATTAGCCTAAACCGTATTATTTCAAAAGAGGAAAAAAAGAAAATTATCGTTTTACTCCTGAAACTGACTGTGACATGACAGCGACATTAAAAATCTCAGAGCGATGGGCATAGTCAGAGAGATGGCTTGATTTGCTTGCTAAATCGGTAACCGCTTTGTATTTGATACATACATACCTACCTACGAACATATATATATATATATATATATATATATATATATATATATATATATATATATATATATATATATATATATATATATATATATATATATATATATATATATATATATATATATATATACATATATATATATATATATAAATATATATATATATATAAGTGTGTGTGTAATTTTCCAAAACATTTTGGTTTGTAATAATGATTTCGGTCAATATATTATGCCGTTTTCTATTGGAAGATATGTTTTTTTGCAAGTTGGGGATAAATTTTGTTCTCGTCTGCTGTCTTGATTGCGTTTGCATGTTATCAGGCGTTTGGTTGGAATGCAGGCGAGACGTAACAAACGATAATACTAAACGGGGAAAAATAATGGAGAATATGGCGGACAGAATTGTGAATGAGTGGAGCAAATAGTAATGGAAAGAAAGTGATTAGATCGGAAGAGACTGACAGAGCATATTACGTCCGTTAGAGAGAAAAAAAGAAGAAAAGGAAAAAAAAGAGTATACAATATACAATGAAATACACGGATTATGTTAGGAGAAAACAGATGGAAGAAAAGAAATATGGACGCTATAAAAAATATGTTTGCCAAGTGAGAAGAAAGTTTTAGAAAAAGTAAAAAGAAATTGTTAAATGATAAAAGAATAAAACAAAAGATTAGAACAAAGAAAGAAAATAAATTGAGGGATGATAGAAAGTAGACAGTAACAAGACGAAACTGAGGAAAAATGTTTCTCATGTGAGGAGAATTTCTTTTAGATTATTATAGACAAAGAATAGAACAGAAGAGAGTCATTTCGAGAGGCGAGGAAAAGAAAGTGCAAGAGGAACACAAGGTGTAATGGTTGTAAATCTAGAAAGAAAGAAAAAATAAATGGACCTTCAAAAAGAAAGCGAGATAAATTTAAGGTGAGAAAATATAAGGAAACAAAACAGGACGAATCGGATGAAAAAGTTTTAGAGACGTTGAAAGAAAAAGAAGTAAATGGAAGAAATAAGGAAGAAAGAAGGAAGTATATAAAGAAAACTTGTAGTATGTGAAGATAAAGAAATGAAGAAAGGAAAAGATGTTAGAAAGGAGAAATTCTCAGATATAAGAGTAGAAAGAAAGAACGAAAGAATAGGAAAACAAAATGATGGAAAAGTAAATTTATAAGATATAAAGAACAAGAAAGAAAGAAAGAAAGAAAGAAAGAAAGAAAGAAAGAAAGAAAGGAAGAAAAGTGAGGAGAAAAGGAAAAGAAATAGTATGATCTGAAAGTAAAAAGAAGAAAGATAGAAAGAAGAAAGATTAGAAGGAAAAAGATACAATGTGCAAGAAGAGAAGCAATGTCAAATGAAGAAGATAAAAGAAGAAAAAGAAAAAAATATGATGCAGAAAAGAAGAAGGTGAAGAAGAAGAAATGAAACAAGGAATCTGTAAAATAACAAAAAAAAACATCGCGTTCATAAATTTGACAGTCAAAGAAATGAATGAGACACTTGTGTCTTTCGTCTATTTCATTCATTGAGCAAAGAAGATAAAGAAGACGCGACAAAATATGGAAGCAGAAAATGTCCTATAAATCAAAAAAAAAAAGAAATTTGTAAAAAAAAAAAAAAAATGAACGCAAATAGAAAAAGAAAATATAAGAAATAAAAAGATAGAATAAACAAACAAAAGAAAGATAAACGAAATTGATATTAGGATTTTTAAAGGGAATTACAGTCGAGCAACAGAAGAATAGGAAGAAAATCCGAAAAAATAACGTCACACAAAAAGACGAATGAATGAATGTTCACAATAATAAAATAAAAATAACGAAAAAGAGAAAAAGAAAGGGGAACGCGCGAACAAGATCAAAATACAGAAAGAAAATCGGAAAAAGAAATAAAGTAGGAAACGGCAAAGAAGGAAGACCGAAAAAATGAAATGATAAAATAACTGAGGTACATAAAAATCAAAAATGAAAATATTAACGTAAAGAAAAGAATACATAAATATAACAGTAAAAGATAAAAAAAGCGAAATAAGGAAACGAAACGAAAGATGTCAACATAATGAAAGAAAAAGATAAAAAAAGAAGGAGAGGAAAAAGAAACAGAAAAATAACGTAAAAAGGGAAAAGATGAAGATCGCTAAAGTAAGGAAGAAATAGATAAAACATCGAAAAACAGAGACAGCTTGGAAGGAGCTCTTTCTGTCTTTCCATGTTTTATCTATTTTCTCCACCAGAATAGAGAATGACGGAAAAGCGAATAAGAATGATAAAAGATATATAAAGGAAAAAAGGAAGATGTTGTGGTGGTGGGGGGGGGCGGTAAATAAACCAATCCTTTATTAAAAAAAGGAATAAACAGTGAAAAATTCACTTAAAAAAAAGAAGAGAAAGAACCTTAAAAAATAAGTGTTCTATACATAACATTGCAAAATAACAAAAAAAAAAAAAAAATATATATATATATATATATATATATATATATATATATATATATATATATATATATATATATATATATATATATAAACCCGGAGATGACACCGTCTGTTCTTTCCATCTTGTCTCATTTCCTTAAAAATTCACAATTTTATTTTGCTTTTTATTTATCTTACATCAAGTTGGAAAATCTTCTGTTTGCTGGATAATTTTTCTATTTCAACTGTTTTCCGATTCTAATACAATGCCTCCAACGAATGTCGTTGCTACAATTACCTGTCATAACAGACTGTTATTTTTTTGTATGGAGACTAGTTACTTTGTGTGTATTTGTGGAAATAATAAAAAGTAAAAAAAAGAAGAATGACTGTTAAATCAGTGACGCAGTCGTCCATCACTGACGTTAACGACTAGCTTTCTGAGATAACGAATAAAGAACTTTGGCGTTTATTTTGTAGATGCCACCATCTAAGCGACGAAAAAGACAGTGTTCAAATATATAAATATGGCGAAGAAAAGCGAAAGTGCGCAACCATGTTTCTCCTCCATTTTTCTTTTTTGTCATTTGTTGCTCTCAAAGAAACTTGCTCTTTACGACACATCTTTGATTTTATGCCATTAGTTTCTCCATCCCGAGGAGCAAACATGTCAATCATTATTTATTAATTGATTTATTTTTTTACGGATTATCAACATTTTACAGTTTATTTGAAGATAATATTTTGGGATTGTAAGAATTTTGAGGGGTTAATGGTGATTTACTGATACAAGTCATACTAATTAACCTAAGAGAAGAGGTCGGCCCATACTTTCGATGTGTCTTGCGAGTGTTGAATTTTCCAGTTTTACTTGAATTTTGAGGAGATGATAATGTTTTATTATATATTTAACCGGGGAGGAACGGTGGAGTAATGGATATCGGCTTGGATTGAGGAATCAGAGAGCCGAGTTCGAAATCCTGTCGAATCCATTACATTCACTTATGTGCTAATACCCTTGGGAAAGGTGTGAATCCTCTTCTTCTCCCTCCATCTATGGGTAAATAGCAGGACAGTTCTATAACCTTGGATGGCAACTGGTCTCGGAGAAGGACAACTCTGAATTCAAACCCAGAGTGGACCCCCTAAGGCGGATGGACGGCACTTTGTACTACCTTTCGGCAAATCCTGCAGCTGCGCTGGTACCAAACTGTATTGGTTTATCCTCTCCTTTGGACTCTGCTAGCAAGGTCGAGAGGGGGAACTAGACATCTGGGCCACCATATATCCCGCCCAGGCTTGTAGACGGTCGCATGCTGATGACTAATTAACCCAAGAAAAGAGGTGGGTTCATACTTTCGATGCGTGTTGCGAGTGTTAAATGTTCCAAGTCGATTTGAATTTCGATGGGATAATAATGATTTACTGATACAAGTCATACTAATTAACCCATAGTTGGGGGAGAAGTGGTGGATTCATACTTTCGATATATCCCGCGAGTGATAAATTTTTCAAACCTATTTTCCTCGCTATGTCCTCGAATTTTTTAGCTCTCTTTTTTATTTGCAAACTTTAATTACTTTATTATAAGTTTGTTTTTTATTTTAAACAAGCAATATTCATCATTTTTTCCATGATATTCGCAAGCTTTCGTCGGTAGGACTACATCCCGAATGTCTTCATTTTGAAAAAAAAATCTTTTTGACGATTTATTAACCATTTCCAGGTTATCTAAATTCAGAAAATATTTTAAGATTGTTAGAACTTGCGGTAGATAATGTTTTACTGATGCAAGTCTTACTTATTAACCCATAGCTTGGAGAGATGTGATGGATTCACTCCTCCCCCAAGCATATTTGCGAATTAATGGAATTGGAACTATGCTTTCCGTTTGGTTTGGTTTGTTTTACGGCATATCAACCTCAATGGGTCATTTGATGCTGACAGTATTTTTAGTGTAGGTTTGTAGGAATAGAATATATATTCTTTGTAAGAAATCAGTTTGTAGATCAGTTTTCATTGACATATATTTGTAAAGTTGGTTTTTGCCGAAGGTCAAATGTATTGCTGGTAATATTTTTTCTTTTTTTTAAAATGTATTTCTGGCATTTTTATTATAAAAATTTATTTTCATACTTCCATAGTGTTCTGATCCCATTTTGAGGGTTAACAATTTTCTCATAGCTGGGACCCTAACAGGTACTACCACTCAACGTCAGGGTGCACCTGAGTACAACAGTAATGAAGATTCCAGGCTCCTCAAAACCTCCCTATCACCGGCGTTGCTGCTGGATGTTGTATATCGTCATATTCAGGACAAACTATGCTTTCCGATTTTCAATTTCGAACCATTATTCATGACACCATCCGCGTATCAAGCGGTCACCAATCAGGTACTAACCAGGTTTGAAGTTCTTCACTTTCGGTGATCGTGCAGGAACCGGTAGAAACTTATCAAGTAGATTATGTTATCGTTTGTTTCTCTTGTCTTCAATATGATTTTTTTTTTCAGTAAGGTTCACCTTTTAAAAGAGACGGAGGGGACTTGAGGTAGAGGGTTACATTAGGAAGCATTTAACCCTAGACTTGAACAGCTTAAGAGTGTAGTGATCGGCGAAACATCCTTTTGTGAGTCGGTTCCAAAGAGCAGTGTTTCGCCGGAAGAAGCTGTTTGAGTGGATCTTATTTCTCGCCGATGGAATACGGAAGGAATGTGAATGGTTTGTTGCTACGTAAGTGGTATGACGTGTCCTTGCTGTGAAGATTTGAATTAGCGAGACAAGGGAATGTACTTCGTCCGAACATTTTCCGTGGAAATAGCGGTAAAGCAACGAAAGGCTGGATACATTGCGCATGTGGGAGAGAGGTTAGAGGGTGGAGAATAATTCGTCACCCACAAGGACTCGGAGACGCTTTTGGACTGTATCAAGGCTAGAGATTAAAATCTGGGCAGCTCCTGTCCAAATATGACAACAGTACTCCATTCTTCCGAGTGCTGACTTTTCTAGGACTACCTTCCACGTTATGTCATCAAAATCTCTTGCTATTTCTTTCCGAATGTTAGCAACATTTTATTTGAAGTGCCTGAGCATCTCCTCCAGTTCCTATCCCACGAACGCAGGTGTTCCTCAAGGCTCCATCCTAGGCCCCACTCTATTCCTTATCGAACTTAAATGACCTTCTGTGACGCCATAAATTCCCAAGTTGGCATCTACGCGAATGACACCACAATTTATTCCTGCCTCAAAAACAAATCTAGTGTCACTAACAAAACTAACCTGGCCGTGCGTCTCGAAAAGGACATCCAATCGGTTGTGAACTGGGGCAGGAATTGGCTGGTCAACTTTAATGCTTCAAAAACAAAACTGCTCTCTATTAATCACCATAGAGAACCTTTCCCCCCATTAGAATGTCTGACGCTCAACTTCTCGAGAGCAACTCTCTGCGGCTGCTCGGTCTCATGTTGACGGCTGACCTGAGATGGAACAAATACATTGAGTCAATTGCTTCGTCCACCGCAAGGAAAGATGGCTCCCTGTGCCGCGCCAGGAAATTTTTCTCCCCGGAACCGATCCTTCAGATTTACAAATCATCAATTCGCTCTTGCATGGAGTATCGCTGCTATATATGGTCTGGAGCCCCTTCTGTTTGACTCGAGGTTCTTGATAGGCTCCAGAGGCGGATATGCAATATAATTGGCCCTGATCTGGCATCTCGTCTACAGTCACTTTCTCACAGACGCGCCGTCGCCACTCTCTGTCTGTTTTACAAATACTTTCATGGCAATTGCTCCGAGGAGCTGCATTCGCTATTTCCCAGACTTCATGAGTTCAAGCGCCCTACGAGGCTGGCATCCCGCGCTCACCCCTTCACTCCTAAATGTAGCCGTCTCTTCTACTCAAATAGCTTCATGTTTCGCACCTCTCGCCTGTGGAACTCCCTTCCCTATTCTAGTTTCCCTGAGAGCTATAATCTCCAGCTATTCAAGTGTAATGTCAATCGATATCTCCAGTTGCCTTGATCTATCCACTACCATTCTCCTCATCTTCTTCTATGACTCCTATCTGATCTTGCTCCAAATCTTCTGTAACCCCTTGTGTCCTAGTGGCTTCTCGCCTTGCTTGGGGTGAAACGCTTAAAAAAAAGAAAAAAATGCCTTCGATATGTCCTGCGGTTGTTAAACTTCCCAGGCCTGCTTTCCTCGCTATGCTCTCGAAGTTTTCAACTATCTCATTCTGGTTGTTAGCAGACTTAAACAATCTTCCTAGTTTTTGTCTATGATATTCACAAACATTCGTCGCTGAAACTGAACCTCACTTATCGTCATTTTGATGAAATTTTACTGATTTCATTTCCCGACAAGACAAACTTCACACTATAGGGAAGAGCAAATATCTTTGCTTCTAAAATTGTTTGTTTTTTTCAGTTTCTAGCGCTATTTCTCTGAAGCTATGCGTATTCCTTTTCGGATTTCTTCCCCTTTGTGCAAATTAATTGAAACAAAACGAGAAATTCCGTTACTATTTACTTTCTTTTTTTTAAATATTTTCTAGTTATTTGTTAGTTATTCTTACGTCCATTCCGCAGAGTCGTTCCTTGCAGAAGAACCACAGATTCTCGATTGGATTTAAATCAAGGGAGTTTTCTGGGCCAATCTATAGTAATTTGCTTTGCTCACTGGTAAGGGGTGTCAGTGTGTTCGTGCAGCGTTACAAATTTCGTACACTTCCTTCGAGTAAGGCCCATCGCAGACAATGGCCGTAGGACAACTAATCGACTGTCGAGACAATAGTGTCTGATCGTGATAAAAATCTGATGCAATCGCGTATGACGCACTATATTTCAAGGCCAAACAAATTTTATCATACACCCCGAAAATAACTTCATATTACTTCACACCACTGCAAATAACCTAATCTGAGGAAAAATAGAAATCCTGTCACTCCAGTGGGTCTAAAAATGACAGTATGGTGAAAGAAACGAAGCAGCTGTTTCAATTAATTTGCGCACGAGTGTATGTCTGGTTCCGTCTTCTGTTCCTGCATTATCCAGAGAGTTACATTAGGTTAAATCATAATTAATTCCCAGTTTAGAGAACCCGTTGTAACAAAGTATGCATCTTCCTAACTTATTGTTCCTTAGATCTATCATAAGAGGTGACAAAAAATAGTTAACATACGACAATTTCCAAATAAAAAAGCAATGAACTAACAAGAATAAATGTTCACAACCGATCACAAATGCTGAGCTCTATGGACGAAAAGAAATGCTATGCGTTTGCTGAGATGGTCACGGGATTATTCTGTTCTTATTATTATGTGCCGTGTCACTTCAGGGTGTAAGCGATCATGACTGTACGTCTTTCTGTACCTTGTAGCTCTTAATAAGTTTTGAAATTTTGTTATTTCTCCTAAATCCTGTTCTGCCATCCATTTGTTCAAGCTCATCAAATATGTCAAGCGTTGATTTCCTCTGTCCCCCTTTCTCTCTATCGGTACTGTGAATATCAGATTTTCCAAGCCCTCCTTTCTCTTTACGTGTCCCAGAAATTTCAGTTGCCTCATCCTGATATTATGCATAAGTTTCCTTCTTGTTTCCATTCTCCCCAAAACCTCGTCGTTGCTCACATGTTCGGCCTATGGTATACTCATCATCATTCTGTATAACCATATTTCTATTGTTTCAAGTCCCTTCCATGTCTTTGGGGAGATTGTCCTGCCATACAGGAAGACCGATATTACATAACATTTCAGAACTCTTTTCTTTGTTTCCAATGAAATTTTCTGTCTCGTACTACGAGATATGTACTCTGTCTCCCGACTAAAACGAGTTGTTACACAAGGTCTTTTTTAAGGGGACCCAAGCGTGTACACTCGGGCAAGGAAAAAAATTGCCCGCAGGTCTCTGCAACCGTCGGTTGAGCTGGCCTCGGTGCGAGCACGGATCCCTCACTCTGGTCCAATGAGAGAGCGCGGCCTCGGGCAGATTTTCCCCAGGGCTGGACACTATAATTTTCCTCAGTTGCGACTGTCTTTTGACGGAGTCACCTCTAAATGCACGATGCTCAAAGACAGAGACGTAACTGAGAGATGATAAGTAATGTGTTTCAAACCCCTCAAGAGAGGAATTTACACACGGTATTTACTTTGTCTTACCAACGATACGAGATGTGACACAAGGCCTTTTTTAACGTTGGGACCCGAGCGCGAACACCTGGGCAATGAACTCGCAGCTCCCCGCAACCGTCGGTTGCGCTGGCTTTGGTGCGAGCACCGATCCCTCTCTCTGATGCAATGAGAGGGCGCGGCCTCGGGCAGCTGTTCCCCAGGGCTGGGCACCTCTCGGTATAATTTTCCTCAATTGCGACTCTGTCCACAGACAGAGACGCAACTGAGAGATGAAAAATAGGGCTTTATAAACTCCTCGAGAGGAATTTACACTGTCTCGTAATACTCTGCTTAACTTTTGGAAAGCATCTTTGGCCATCGCAATACGTCTTTGGATTTCAGTGTCGCACTTTCTGTCCTCTGTTAGAACACTTCCTCAAGATTTCATAAGAACGCTATGAAAACTAAATGCGCACATATGCGTTCAGTATCTACAACTTGTCCGTAAAGACGACATAAGTTGTCTCCAGATAAAAGGAAGATCATATG